AGCAAATTATTTGATGTCAACATTAATTAGTTAATTACTGATAAAACTGACCAAAAGTCTAAGATTATGGCCAATCCCACACCACCAGAAACACCCTTCAGTCCTCTAGGGCTCTTCAGTCTTGGCCTTCTTGGACTTGGGCTCAGCATCTGATGATGGTGGATCTGATGCTGCTTCATCATTCTGCTCAGAGTCACCAAAGACCTGAGAGTCATCATCCTGCTGAGAGTCACCAAAGACCTGAGAGTCATCATCCTGCTGAGAGTCACCAAAGACCTGAGAGTCATCAGCATGCTGAGAGTCCTCAGTGACCTGCTGGGGCATCCTGCTGAGCACTTTGTCCCTGATCTCAGCAAGCTCCTCCTTGATCACATCAGCCCTGAGGTTCTCAATGTTCTGGCAATGCTGGACCCACTGATGCTGCCTGACCTCCACAAGTGCCAGCATGTTGAGCAGCTCAGCCTTGCACTTGATGAGGTTGAATCCATTTCCCTGAGACTGTCCACTGAGGGAGGCATGCACCTTGTGCAGCTCATCAAGGGAAGACCTGAGGTCCTGATGCTCCCCCATGTCGATCTCATGCCTACTGAGGAAGATAAGAGCATCCTGAGGTGTAATGCCAAGATCTGAGATGAACTTAAGGAGCTGTCCCTCTTCCTGAGTAGTAAGCTTCCCCATTGCCATGGCTGAAAAAGTTAGTGCAGTGGAACTGAGCTAAGGTTCTACTGGCTGTGTTTGATCCTTCACAAGCTCAAAAATCAACCTGAACCATTGCAAAGAAGCTGAGAGGTTGCATACAAGTTCAATCTAAGCCATAACTCATGACACCAAATCAAAGTTGAACATATTGTGATTAATTAATGAACAGTTAGTTATAGAAATGGTTGGTTCCTTCAGCTGAGTTCAACCTTAGTCATTGAAACCTTACCCAGACCCACCACTTTCCCAAACATTTTCTGGCAATGCCTTTTGCTGATAGTGCTATGCTGATGCATACTGAGCCTTGCTCAGGACAAAGTTGGAAACAACTGAGAAGCTAGCTGAGGTAGAAGATGATGTAGCTCACAGTCTGAGGTTCTACTTCATAGTGAGTCTCACTATGAAGTAGAACCTCAGTGCCTTGGCTTCTCCTTCTCCTCAGCACTGAAGATGCTCACAACTAAGAAGGATGATGTAGTCACCAGGTACTCCACTTTCTCAGGATGCTGATGTCCTGTCAGGGACAAAAAGCTGAGAGCAAAGCATACAACTATTTGACACTAATCTCAGTGTATAGTGTTCATTGAATAATTAATCAGATAAATAAGTAACTACCAATCAATATGTGTTAAACAAATTGACTAATTAATTATGCAATCAAATAATTCCAACAATTAACCTGCAGAAGAAGCCTCCACATCCCTTCAGATCTGCACACCTTTTTCCTTCATTCAAGCTGTATGGATTGCTTCTGAAAGCAAATTTAAAAAGGACACTGAGATTTCACTCAGTGATGTTCCATCTGCCTGAGGCAGCTACTTATCCTCATCATTCTGAGATTTTTGTTTCTTAGCTGGAGGACTGAGCAAATAGACAGCCCTGTCCCTTGGGATCTGGTACTTCTCTATGAAATCTTCAAGTTTCTGAGTCATGAAAGCATCCTGAGCCTCCTGAGCCTCCCTCTCAGCTTTTTCAGCCTCCTGCTGAGCCTCCTCCTCAGCTAGTACTGCCTCTTTCATTAAAACCATGTTCTCATGGGTTCCTTGGAAAGCAATGATGCTGTTTGAAATCTCCTGAGACACATCTTCCATCAAGCTGAGATCAGTCTTCAGTCTGGCCACAGTCCTTTCCTGCATTTTCTGAGCTTGTTCCATCAATTCTATGCATTCTTGGAGCTCATCCATGTGAACTAACAGGTCCTCCAGAGGTTGCTCATTCATGGAAGCATCTGAGAGAAGCAGAGCCATTGCTGAGCACCTACCCCCAGGATCCATCTGCTGGAGCTGGCTGAAGTAGTATGCTTCACCACTATGACACTCACTGGCCTGAGGTGGATCAGCTGGCCTTGCCTTAGGCATCACTGGTGTGCCTAGAGGCTCAGGAGGACGCTGAGAAGATGAAGGCCTAGAAGCAGAAGGATCTTCCATGAACTGAGCCTTACCATAATCTGCCTTCACTGACTTAGCACATGGCAATGGATCCATGCTGAGGATCCTGGTGTAGTACCACTGGATCACCCACTGAGGCCATCCATCTGAGCCCTCAATGCAAGCTGCTTTGAATGAAAAAAAAAAGTAGACTGTAATTGATCAATTAATTCATGATGTTACCAAGTAATGAATTGCTCAATTAATTAATTAATTGGCTAATTGATTAATTAATTAATTATATGATTAATGTTGTTTACTTAGTTTTGAACTGTCACTGAGGTACTTGTAATTAGCAGTAATACTTTAGTTCAAAGCACATAAAAATCAGGAACAAAAAACAGGTAAACAAAAATAACATTATTCTAAGTCCACCCAGGAACTCTGCATTTGCCACATCCTGACTGCCAAGGAATTCTGCTGAGAAAAATGTCAGCTCCACAGGAACCACAGGCAACCTTAGGCTCATCCAAGTACCTGGGGTACTTGACCATAACCTCCTTATCCTGATTCTGGAACAGCTCAGAGATGTAAGGTCTCTTAGGATCACATGGTTGCACCAACTGAGCATGCTTTCCATTCTCTGATCTATACACCATTCCAGCAGGAATAGTGCTAAGGAGTTGCTGAGGTACCCAGGGCCCATATCTGCCCTCAGCATCCTTTTTTCCTGAGCCTTGGGCAGCTGTCTTCTGCTGCCAAGGGCGATTCTGCTGACTAGCAGCAGTGTTTGAACTCATGGCTTGCAAGAAGTGCAGCTGAGTTGGTGGAAATCACACTGAGATCAAAGCAGCTGAGGAATCACATAGACATGCATAATTCAACACCATGCAAGCAAAATATCTAGTTGACTAATTCATTTATTACAATTATATATAATGAATCAATAAATATATAGTTATTGAATATGATGCATGTGCAAGTAATTATAAGAAACTTACACATGCATAAGCATGCATTACTGATCAAGATTGCCACAAGTCTGAGGCCATGGTCAAGCTGAGCACCAATCCTACCCCACCAGAAACACCCTTCAGTCCTCTGGAGCTAAGTGATCTCATGGTGCTGAGTGATTCCAGCATGCTCTTCAGCAGCACCATTGCTGAGAAAATCAACACAGTTGGATCTGAGCCTTCACAAGCTTTGGTATATAACATCAAAACTAAGTAAAGATTTTCCAAAGGATGAGTTTCAGCCAACCAAAAAAAAACATGAATGATCATGATACAAAATAGTATGGTTTGTTTGGGGGTACACTATTGTGTCCAGCTGCTTCCTGATGTGTTTTTTTTTAACATTCTCTTTACCTTTTCCTTTGCTATTATTTTTTATTTTCTCAATTAGTTTCTTTTATTTACAATTCTCAGAAATGCTCAATTTCTCAAAATATATGATGCCTTATTAAAACCCAATTAAAAAACATGACTCAAACAATTTTTCAAGAGGGTAGTCCATGAGCAACCCTGATACACAATAGTGTGGTTTGTTTGGGGGTACACTATTGTGTCCAGCTGCTTCCTGAGGTGATTGTTTTTTTTCAACCATTTCCTTTTCTTTTTCCTTTGCTAAAGTTTGTTTCCTTTTACTTAGCTTCATTTTTCTTGGATTCAAAACCAAAGGCTTTCCAAAGGATTAGTTTCAGCCAAGCAAAAAAAAAAACATGAATGATCATGATACACAATAGTATGGTTTGTTTGAGGGTACACTATTGTGTCCAGCTGCTTCCTGAGGTGACTTTGTTTTTTTAACATTCCCTTTACATTTTCCTTTGCTAAAGTTTATGTCTTTTATTTTCTCAATTAGTTTCTTTTATTTAGAATTCTCAGAAATGCCTAATTTCCCAAAATATATGATGCCTTATTAAAACCCAATTAAAAAACATGACTCAAACAATTTTTCAAGAGGGTAGTCCATGAGCAACCCTGATACACAATAGTATGGTTTGTTTGAGGGTACACTATTGTGTCCAGCTGCTTCCTGAGGTTATATTTTTTTTCAAGCATTTCCTTTCCCTTTTCCTTTACTAAAGTTTGTTTCCTTTTACTTAGCTTCATTCTTCTTGGAATCAAAACCAAAGGCTTTCCAAAGGATTAGTTTCAGCCAAGCAAAAAAAACATGAATGATCCTGATACACAATAGTATGGTTTGTTTGAGGGTACACTATTGTGTCCAGCTGCTTCCTGAGGTGAAAAAAGCAATCATCCATCCAAGTAATTATTTTAAAGAATATCAAATCTAAATTGATTCACATCTGCTAAATTCAATCTTAGTCCATGCTGCTAAGTTCAATCTCAGTAATTAATTAATTATCTTAGTGCTTGCAACTCTACCCAACCCCATCACTTTCCCAGCCATCTTTTGCCAGTGTGTCCTGCTGATAGTCACATGCTGAGACATTCAAAAATCATTGAGCCTTGCTTAGCTCAATGTAAAAGAAAATCACTCAAGCTTGCTGAAGACCTTAATGCTGAGTGAGGTAGGCAGAATGCTGAGGTCCTGTCAGGGACAAGAAACTGATAGCAAAACTGAAAGACCCATTATTTGACACTAAACTCAGTGATGTTAATGTCCAACATTACCCATTACTTATGCTAAAGTAATCAATTAATTAACTAAATAATTGATTAATTATTGATTCATTAATTAGTTAATTAAGTAATTAACTAATTAAAATATTAATTAATCAATTAATTATTCTAAACTGCAACAACAACCAGCAGCAGTGGCAAAACCACCCACATCACTTCAGAGCTGCACTCATTTTTTTCTGCCAGCTAAGAAATTCTTCACAGTGCCTCTGGTATAATTACTCAGGAAGTGACTAAGGCTTCTAATTAACTATATATCTGCTCAGCAGTCATGCACCTGAGTTAATTATACATCCACAACTTCCTTCACTGAGTCCTGAGGCTTGTGATCAATCTGAGGAGACTTTTGCATCAGCTGCCTGAGATCTAGTTCACTCATTTGATGAGTTTCCATGAACTTTCTCAGAGCTGCCTTATTCAGAAGATCCTGAGACAGCTTCTGCTCCCAGTAGGACTGAGATCTTTTCACTGAGAGTTGAAGCTCAGCATGCAAAGCCCTGAGCTCACCTTGCTCCTCTTCCATGTTCTTAGCATGTTGCCTGAGCCTAAGCATTGTGAGCTCCTGAGATTCAAGTGCCTGCTCAAGTAGAAGAATCTTGGACTTCATGTCCTCAATCAGGTCAGGTACATTGTCCAAGTCACTGGGCTTCTGATCTGATTCTGAGCTGTCCAGGAGCTTGTCAATCTCATTGATGTTCAGCTTTTGGAGCTCAGACTTGACATAGCCCTGAGCATCATTGGCAGTCCTGATAGGCTGAGGCTTCCAAACTGAGCTTCTCTGCATATTTGATAAAGCAGCATCTAGCACATTGAAGGGCTGATGAGGTCTGCCTGAGCCCTTCCCTGTTGATGAAGAAGCAGTTGCTGCTGAGAATCCAGCTGGTGGATCAGGCTCAGGAGGCTTGAACTGAGCTTGTCTGAACTGAGGAGCTACAAATGCACCCCAAGGCAATGGGTCCATTCTGAGCACCTCAGTGTAATATCTTTGAACCACTTCCTGAGACCAGCCATTGTGTTCCTGCAGGGTTGCAAATGGTGTCCATGAAAAAAATGACAACTATATCAGTTAATTAATGCTCATTGTCCTATGCTAAAACACACAAACACACACCAACAAAAAAAAATCATCCATTTGTTCAACCCAGGCACAGAGCATTCTCTACATCCTGATTGCCAGGGAATTCTGCTGAGGAAGACTTGATGGCCATTGCCACAGTCAACCTTAGGCTCCCCAAGGTATCTAGGATACTCCACAATGTTTTCTGAGTCCATGTTGTTGAAGAGTGCTAAGCATGAGGGTTCCTGAGGTGGATCATTGGGCTGAAGCTGGTAGCGCCCTTTGCCACCCTTCTGAGTCCACAAAACCTTGTCAGGCACCTCAGCAGGCTTCTCTTCAAACATAGGATGAGGTTTGCCTGAGCCTCTCCCATGATAGTCAAAGAAAGACATAGCTGAGATGATATGGAGCAAAGGTTGATTAGTCCTGGCCCTTAGATTTGAGCCTTAAAAAGCTGAGGAATCACATAGACATGCACAAATATGAACATGCTACAACTTCATTGGTTAATTAATTAGCTAATTACTCAATTATAAGAAACTTAAACATGCATAAGCATGCTAATTAATTAATTAATTGATTAATTAATTAATTAATTGATTAATTAATTAATTAATTAATCAAAATTGCCAAAAGTCTAAGATTATGTCCAAGCTGGGCACTAATCCCACACCACCAGAAACACCCTTCAGTCCTCTAGGGCTCTTCAGTCTTGGCCTTCTTGGACTTGGGCTCAGCATCTGAGGATGGATCTGATGCTGAATCATCACTGCTCATAGGCTGAGAGTCTAGGACCTGAGAATCATCAACCAGCTCCTGGGACCCAAAGGGTGTATCTGATGGTGCTTCATCATCACTCCCCATAGGCTGAGAGTCTAAGACCTGAGAGTCCTTAGCCACCTCCATCACCTCATGGTCAGGCTGTGCATTCAACTCCTTTTCCATATCCTGAAACTTGCTGAGGGTAGCATCAAATGTATCAGACTTAGCAGGTTGGGCAGGCCGGGCAGGCTGAGGAAGAGGGATACACTCTGATGGCCAACCATCCTGAGCATCCTGAAGAGCTGTCTTGAGAATCCTAATCCATTGCCCCTGAGTGATCTTTGGGTAACCCTTGAAGTCTTTGAAGATCTGACTGAGTTCATTCCTGAAACTGAGCATCACCCAATCAGGCACAGCATCAGGATCCTCAAGCTGAACCAACTGCTGAGTGTAGTACTTCTGCAGCATGTCCACAAACTGTTCCTGAGAGCACCTGAGCTTCACCTTGATGTCAGCCATCTCAGCTGTCAGAGCCACCACCTTCATGGAGTTGCTTAAAGAACCACCCAAAAATAAAACTCATTAACTAATTCATTAATGGATTTCCCATTGGGAAACAAAAAAACAAATCCAAGCCTTAGGACTCAAAGAGAATTTCTCCAGAGTCAGGATATTCCTGAGGTTGGAAAACCATTCCACAAGATGATAATTGTAGTCCTTCCTGAGCTTGTCCATCTCAGTGTTGAATTGCTCCATGGCTGAGCTGATGGGATGCAAAGAAGCTGGCTAGAATGGGCTTGAGCCTTCACAAGCAAAGAAATAAATCCCCCCATGTGAGATGAAAATGGATTGAAATCAAATGAAAAGCAATTCCTTTGTTAATTAATAAATTAAGTTGAAATCAATTCAAAGTAAAGTGAAAATCAATTGAAAAACAATTTAATTAAACAAATTGAAAATCAATCGAAATTAATTTGAAATCATTTGAAATCAATTGAACATCAGTTGAAAATGAATTGAAATCAATTGCAATCAAAACCAAAGGCTTTCCAAAGGATGAGTTTCAGCCAAGCAAAAAAAAATATGAATGATCATGATACACAATAGTATGGTTTGTTTGAGGGTACACTATTGTGTCCAGCTGCTTCCTGAGGTTATGTTTTTTTTCAAGCATTTCCTTTCCCTTTTCATTTACTAAAGTTTGTTTCCTTTTACTTAGCTTCATCCTTCTTGGAATCAAAACCAAAGGCTTTCCAAAGGATCAGTTTTAGCCAAGCAAAAAAAAACATGAATGATCCTGATACACAATAGTATGGTTTGTTTGAGGGTACACTATTGTGTCCAGCTGCTTCCTGAGGTGATGTTGTTTTTTAACATTCCCTTTGCATTTTCCTTTGCTAAAGCTTTTTTTTATTTTCTCAATTAGTTTCTTTTATTTAGAATTCTCAGAAATGCACAATTTCCCAAAATATATGATGCCTTATTAAAACCCAATTAAAAAACATGACTCAAACAATTTTTCAAGGGGGTAGTCCATGAGCAACCCTGATACACAATAGTGTGGTTTGTTTGAGGGTACACTATTGTGTCCAGCTGCTTCCTGAGGTTATGTTTTTTTTCAACCATTTCCTTTTCCTTTTCCTTTGCTAAAGTTTGTTTCCTTTTACTTAGCTTCATTTTTCTTGGAATCAAAACCAAAGGCTTTCCAAAGGATTAGTTTCAGCCAGCAAAAAAACATGAATGATCATGATACACAATAGTATGGTTTGTTTGAGGGTACACTATTGTGTCCAGCTGCTTCCTGAGGTGATTTTGTTTTTTACACATTTCCTTTACATTTTCCTTTGCTAAAGCTTTTTTTTATTTTCTCAATTTAGTTTCTTTTATTTAGAATTCTCAGAAATGCACAATTTCCCAAAATATATGATGCCTTATTAAAACCCAATTAAAAACATGACTCAAACAATTTTTCAAGTGGGTAGTCCATGAGCAAACCCTGATACACAATAGTTGTGGTTTGTTTGGGGGTACACTATTGTGTCCAGCTGCTTCCGAGGTGATTGTTTTTTTTTTCAACAATTTCCTTTTCCTTTTCCTTTGCTAAAGTTTGTTTCCTTTTACTTAGCTTCATTTTTCTTGGAATCAAAACCAAAGGCTTTCCAAAGGATCAGTTTCAGCCAAGCAAAAAAAAACATGAATGATCATGATACACAATAGTATGGTTTGTTTGAGGGTACACTATTGTGTCCAGCTGCTTCCTGAGGTGATGTTGTTTTTTAACATTTCCTTTACATTTTCCTTTGCTAAAGCTTTTTTATATTTTCTCAATTAATTAGTTTCTTTTATTTAGAATTCTCAGAAATGCACAATTTCCCAAAATATATGATGCCTTATTAAAACCCAATTAAAAAACATGACTCAAACAATTTTTCAAGGGGGTAGTCCATGAGCAACCCTGATACACAATAGTGTGGTTTGTTTGGGGGTACACTATTGTGTCCAGCTGCTTCCTGAGGTGATTGTTTTTTTTCAACAATTTCCTTTTCCTTTTCCTTTGCTAAAGTTTGTTTCCTTTTACTTAGCTTCATTTTTCTTGGAATCAAAACCAAAGGCTTTCCAAAGGATTAGTTTCAGCCAAGCAAAAAAAACATGAATGATCATGATACACAATAGTATGGTTTGTTTGAGGGTACACTATTGTGTCCAGCTGCTTCCTGAGGTGATGTTGTTTTTTAACATTTCCTTTACATTTTCCTTTGCTAAAGCTTTTTTTTATTTTCTCAATTAATTAGTTTCTTTTATTTAGAATTCTCAGAAATGCACAATTTCCCAAAATATATGATGCCTTATTAAAACCCAATTAAAAACATGACTCAAACAATTTTTCAAGGGGGTAGTCCATGAGCAACCCTGATACACAATAGTGTGGTTTGTTTGGGGGTACACTATTGTGTCCAGCTGCTTCCTGAGGTTATGTTTTTTTTTTCAACCATTTCCTTTTCTTTTTCCTTTGCTAAAGTTTGTTTCCTTTTACTTAGCTTCATTTTTCTTGGATTCAAAACCAAAGGCTTTCCAAAGGATTAGTTTCAGCCAAGCAAAAAAAAACATGAATGATCATGATACACAATAGTATGGTTTGTTTGAAGGTACACTATTGTGTCCAGCTGCTTCCTGAGGTGATTTTGTTTTTTAACATTGAAATCAATTGAAAGTAAATTGAAATCAATTGAAAGTAAATTGAAATCAATTGAAAGTAAATTGAAATCAATTGAAAGTAAATTGAAATCAATTGAAACTAAATTGAAATCAATTGAAAGTAAATTGAAATCAATTGAAAGTAAATTGAAATCAATTGAAAGAAAGTAAATTGAAATCAATTCAAAATAAATTGAAATCAATTGAAAGTAAATTGAAATCAATTGAAAGTAAATTGAAATCAATTGAAAGTAAATTGAAATCAATTGAAAGTAAATTGAAATCAATTTGAAAGTAAATTGAAATCAATTGAAAGTAAATTGAAATCAATTGAAAGTAAATTGAAATCAATTGAAAGTAAATTGAAATCAATTGAAAGTAAATTGAAATCAATTGAAAGTAAATTGAAATCAATTGAAATCAATTGAAAGTAAATTGAAATCAATTGAAAATAAATTGAAATCAATTGAAAGTAAATTGAAATCCATTGAAAGTAAATTGAAATCAATTGAAAGTAAATTGAAATCAATTGAAAGTAAATTGAAATCAATTGAAAGTAAATTGAAATCAATTGCAAGTAAATTGAAATCAATTGAAAGTAAATTGAAATCAATTGCAAGTAAATTGAAATCAATTGCAAGTAAATTGAAATCAATTGAAAGTAAATTGAAATCAATTTGAAAGTAAATTGAAATCAATTGAAAGTAAATTGAAATCAATTGAAAGTAAATTGAAATCAATTGAAAGTAAATTGAAATCAATTGAAAGTAAATTGAAATCAATTCAAAATAAATTGAAATCAATTCAAAATAAATTGAAATCAATTCAAAGTAAAATTGAAATCAATTGAAACTAACTTGAAAATCAATTGAAAGTAAATTGAAATCAAGTGAACGTAAACTGAAATCAATTGAAGTAAATTGAAATCAATTGAAAGAAATTGAAAACAATTTGAAAGTAAATGGGGAAATCAATTGAAAGAATTGAAATTCATGAACGTAAATTGAAATCAATTGAAAGTAAATTGAAATCAATTGAAAGTAAATTGAAATCAATTGAAAGTAAATTGAAATCAATTCAAAATAAATTGAAATCAATTCAAAATAAATTGAAATCAATTCAAAATAAATTGAAATCAATTGAAAGTAAATTGAAATCAATTCAAAATAAATTGAAATCAATTCAAAATAAATTGAAATCAATTCAAAATAAATTGAAATCAATTCAAAATAAATTGAAATCAATTCAAAATAAATTGAAATCAATTCAAAATAAATTGAAATCAATTCAAAATAAATTGAAATCAATTCAAAATAAATTGAAATCAATTTAAATCTATCAATTTTTTTTGATTTTACACTATTCTGTACCCGGTAATTTGTTTTTTCCACACTATTCTGTTACCCAAATTTGTTTGGGGGGGGGGGGCCTCCCCACACTAATCAGTAACCTACATCACTGATGTTGGGTACTTGCAGCTTCGGCCAGCAAATCCTCAGTCTTACGGCTTCGGATGTACTCCTGCTGGGCGTCATCCTCCACCAGCTCGTCCAATTGCTCTTCATCTTGGGCTTCGTCCCGCTTGGCTTTTGAGCTCGACCGTGAGGTCGGCATTGCAAAAAGCTTTCTGAGGTGCTTATCCTTTTGAAATTGATCTTTGGGATAAACCTTGCAACTATCATCCAAGATTGGGACATGACCTTCGATCTTGAGCTGGACAACCTTGTCATCTGGACGGACTAGGATTGGTTTGCCATTGGCAGGCCATACAAAACTGTAACCCTGATCTACACATCTTGTTCCTACGGAGAGCACAGCTGGGGTATGATCAAGTACATACGGATGCACAGGATCTGGCAATGCGGACAACTTGACATCAGCAACCTCATTGGCCTCGGTCGAACCATTGGCTGTGACTAAGGAAATCGGATGCTCGGCTGCACGGCAGTTCTTGGCGCTAACATCCCTTAGCATACCCTTGGACACAAGATCGGATTCACTGCCTGAGTCGACAAGCCAACTGACGCCGGCCTTTGGCGCGGCCGTGGCAATTGACGGAAAACGACCGATGTCTCTAAGAACTTTGGGACCGCTGATGAATCTGCACTCCTTGCATGTGATGTCACGTGTGTCCTCATTCCAACAACAAAACCCACAACTAGGTGCAACATCTGAATCATGAAGTTTCACAGTTTCTTGAAGCTGTCTTGCACGAACCTGAGCCTCATGTTGTTCAACTTTGGATGAAACTGGAACATCTTCAGCTGTCTTGTACACCTTAGTGAACTCTCTTGGACGGTGCTTGACTGGGACTTGACGACCAACTGCTTTCACCTCGATCACATGTGGGGCCTTTCGGAATCTAAGACGCTTCATGCTGACACTTGACTCATCGGAGCACGAAGTTGCCTTCGGCTGTTTTCGGACGATGCATGCAAACTTCTGGATCAGGCATGGAGCGGCTGTTGAATCCTTGCTCTTCTTTTTGGGAGCGGGTGAATTGGCCCTTTTGGTGTCTTTGGTGGCGGCAGCGGCTTTGTCATCATGCTTATAAAAACATT